CACTGGGGATACAATTAATGACACAGCATACTTAATTATAAATGTGCCATATGCTATTTTCTTTTTTTGGACGGTGTTGGGGATCATATGCAATAGAACTGATCAGGACACCTCTGTTGTAGGATGCCAACTCCTAACAGTACTGAAATAGCAAGAACATCTGTGTATAACTTTGAATGTTTCATATATCACGACACATGGAGTTCTATCTCACATGCAACACGTTTTATTCCGACAAAATCTGCCATTCCTGGTGAAACAACATAGAAAATTTGTCTTTCTCAGATCTGACAAAATTAAACATTTCGGGTTTACATGACGTCACCAATAACAGATTGTGAAGCTGAGAAAGACTTTTCTAAAATAACAAAATAAAAAAAAATTTTGATCAAACCTGCTACAAGGCTGACTTTGCTTTCTTCTTAAAGAAAAGAATAGAAGAAAGTCACTGCTGTATGAAAATCATGAAGCCTAAAATTACCTAAAAAATTACAAATAAAGGTATTAAAGTGACATGTCAGGTAGTTAAGTAAAAATTTCTTGTTGTACTGACTTTAAGATTATAGTATTTGTCAGATTTTGAAGTTTGTAATTTATGGGAATTAATTTTCTAACACTAAATAAATACCTGATTTTGCCTACAAAATTTTATACATATATTTTTAAGAAGTCCCCAAATTTTACAAACTGCAGCCGCCACAAAACTTGAGTTCACCTGGTCCTGGTGTAAAGCACATTTCTTACATTGTATCTCTGTCCCCTCTCCCCAAATAAAAAAGGTTGAAAAGCTCTGGACTTGATATGTTATCTCGAAGCTTTCTTCCAGCTCTGGAATTTTCTAAATCAGTGGGAAGTGTATCCAGTTCCCTTCCCCCAGCAGCTGCAACTCTGACAGAAAGACAAGGAAGTCCTTTCTTGGAGTTTATCCAAATCTTTCCTGCTGTAGTTGGAGTCCTTGTCCCCTGAGGCAGGCAGTCAGAATGCCAGTGCGCAAAGCTCCAAGGGAGAGTAGGGAAGACAGAAAGTCTGAAACTGTAAGCTTTGTGGGAAAGGGAAGAGAGAGGTGTAGGACCAAAATTCTAAATCTAGGGAACAGAATTGAGGGACTCTCCCAATACGACAATAGTGGTCACCACTTGGAACTTTCTTCAGCATTTATTGAGTGCACGTATATGCTACGTAGTCTTTCCCGGTGGCAAAAGTGGTAAAGAACCCGCCTGCCAATGCAGGAGACACATGAGACGCGGATTCAATCCCTGGGTCTGGAAGATCCCCTGGAGGAGGAAATGGCAACCCACTCCAGTATTCTTGCCTGGAGAATTCTGACAGGGGAGCCTGGCGGTTTACCATCCATGGGGTGGCAGAGTCAGACAGGACTGAGCGACTAACACACATTAGTTTACTAGAATCTAAGTGCCACAAGGGCGGTGCCTTGCCCCTCTTATTAACCCCTGTATTCCCTGATTCAGGACTTGGCACAACAAGGTGGGAGCTCAATAATTGCTTCCATGTGTAACCTCTACCTCAAAGTTGCGCTCCAAGCCGCGTCTCAGAACTCAAGAATGAATGGTACGCATCTGTCCATCAACCAATTAAGGCAGGGCAAAAATTTGCATATTGCCTCCCTATTGGTGAAATCCACGGTCCCTAGTTTCCTTCCAGGCAGTGGAGGAAGGGTCATAATATCGGCCTCTGTGGCCACAGTTCAGCTGCGACCCCAGGGACTGCAGCACGCCAGGCTTCCCTATCCATTGCCAACTCTCGGAGTTTACTCAAACTCATGTCCATTGAGTCGGTGATGCCATCCAGCCATCTCATCTTCTGTCGTCCCCTTCTCCTCCTGCCTTCAATCTTTCCAGCATCAGGGTCTTTTCCAAGGAGTCAGCTCTTCGCATCAGGTGGTCAAAGTACTGGAGTTTCAGCTTCAGTCCTTCCAATGAATATTCAGGACTGATTTCTTTTAGGATGGGCTGGTTAGATCTCCTTGCAGTCCAAGGGACTTTCAAGAGTCTTCTCCAACACCACAGTTCAAAAGCATCAATTTTTCAGCACTCAGCTTTTTTTATAGTCCATACAAGACTACTGGAAAAACCATAGCTTTGACTAGACAGACCTTTGTTGGCAAAGTAACTTCTCTGCTTTTTAATATGCTATCTAGGTTGGTCATAACTTTTCTTCCAAGGAGTAAGCGTCTTTTAATTTCACAGCTGCAGTCACTATCTGCAGTGATTTCGAAGCCCCCGAAAATTAAGTCTGCCACTGTTTCCACTGTTTCCCATCTATTTGCTATGAAGTGATGGGATGCCATGATCTTAGTTTTCTGAATGTTGAGTTTTAAAACCTTTTCACTCTCCTCTTTCACTTTCAGCAAGAGGCTCTTTACTTCTTTGCTTTCTGCCATAAGGTCGGTTGTCATCTGCATATCTGAGGTTATTGATATCTCTCCTGGCAATCTTGACTCCAGCTTGTGCTTCATCCAGCCCAGCGTTTCTCATGATGTACTCTGCATGTAAGTTAAATAAGCAGGGTGACAATATA